ATTGGCCACTTTTAGGGTCTTAACCACATCTAAATGGAAAAACGTGACCTAATTGAACAGTTATATGCAAAATATAACACACATAGACGTGTTTGGCCTATAAACTACCAACTACACACTTTAGGCCAAATGTGTGTTTTTCATTTCATTTCATACTACTAACCAAACTTTCATACACATTATTCGTACTACACTTTTACACATGTATATATCTATATATCCATCTATTAGCCCACATGGTCACTTTTATCACATACTCACATAAACACACATTGGGCTAAGATACTAAGAATCACACATATATTCACATTCACATGTTCATGTACAAAATGACCATCCTTATGGCAACTTATATACATAACTATTATTATACATTCAAATTCATTACACCAGCTTATAATGGGCTTTTTAAGAGTCTCTACTCAGCCCATTTCCTTTCCCTTTATACTACTAGTGCCAGAACCTTGAAAATGTAAATAACCACAGGTGAGGTCAAAATTTCAGTAACCAATATAGCTCATTTAATGTCTATTAACATAAATAACTATGCCAAATGCCAAAGTAACAAAATCAAAGTAATAGCATACACACACACACACACACACACACACACACACACACATAAATACATATAGAATTTCTTCTTTCTAAAACATTTCCACACAATTATCAATAATAGCATGATCATCTAACCATCAAACCTCCCATGGTCCCCGACATAAAACTATAGGCTCTATTGGATCAATCACATATTGACTCGAGCATACTTTTGATGATAGAAATACTCGGCTAAAGGTAATCTATCCCAATTACAGACTATGATTTTTCTCATCTCACATACTTGTGATAGAGGCACCGTTGACTCCTAACAGCACCTTATTGGGCACCAGAGAGTTGTTAAATTGTCTAGATGTCCCATGATAATAGTCCCAATATAATGTTGCACTAAATTACTTATGGTACCAGCCTATATAATGCTATACCTGATGTCCCATGGTGCTAGCCCTAACTATATAGATTTGTTTACTCACATCTCCATACACACACATCCACACATATCCTGAGTGAACTCCTACCTCTATGATCATGCTTTTCACATTAATTTCACTACTTTTCCACAACTTATACCATATATATATATATATATATCTAAACCAGTGATCACCAAACCTTTATTTTACAAATCAATTTCATGCCAAAACTATTTATAATGCTAAGTCATGCATAGACACTGACAAAGCCATGATTTCACAATTACATAATTATTTTTACATAGTTATAATAGTTAATAAATATAATAAACTATATGGTTACCTCAACCCTTCTGTCTAATAGAAAGGTTACCCATATTTTTCCTCAACCTTACTCACTTTATCTTGCTATTCAACTTGTCACACATGAAAATCTGCACAATTTAGACACCTAGAGTCAATTTCATCATTGACAAAAAGTGCCAACTATAGCAATCAAGCACCTAATCACTATCATTTTCCTTATTCATACTCATTCACGTGCATTATAACTAATTACCACTTGCAACAAGCACTAACCTTCTCACAATCAAATTTCTCTCACTACTCTCTCTCTCTCTAAATTAGATTAATTTGAACCTATAGGTTCAAAGCTTTATCATCCTAACTCAAACTAGTCACAAAGGTCTAACTTAGTCCTAAAGCACATTTCTATTACTATAGAGTAAGAAATCAACTCTTTAAAACTTTTAAATTTAATTTCTCAATAGTTAAAACTAAGAGAAAATAGGGTAGAATCAGAGGCTAAGGCAATACAAGACTTACTCAATAAGTAACAGGTTAAAAATGTCATCCTTACTCTTAAAAACTAAAGCCCTAGCAAAGCATCCCTTATTCTCCACACCTGATCCCTCTTTTCTTGATCTCTTTTCTATTTTTCATGAGCAAGCACATCCTTATTTGGTAAGTTCCTGCACCATACAATGTAGCACATTCAGCCTCAATCGTGGTACATGGCACAGTGAGGAGAGTCCCCACTATACTCGCATGCTATTCTTCATGGTACTATTCTTCTACTCATATCTATTCACATAACATCCCAATGAGTCAATACAACACTCCACCATCCACAATCCTAACCTCACATTAAATTACTAATTCAATCCCTAATCAGAGTTAATGTAAAAAATAAAAATTTAAGATGTTACATTTTAGTTTATCAAAGCCATAAAATACTTGAAGCTATTTAATAAACTTGGTTAGGAGGTTTAAGAATAAATGTGGCCACCATTCAAGCTAGGTTAACTTGTATACACATGTAACTCTTGATTAGAACTCAATAAGTACTTCTAAAAAGATTATCAAATGGTGATTAAGGGATTCTTAGTCAAAACCCTCAAGGTTTAAAGTCATTAGAAGCACATTGAAATAACTCTTATACATGTGTCACTCTAGGGTCTTCTTGCTTTATAGTCTGTCTTGTAATCCAATCTTTTGGCCATTTAATCCTCTTGCAATTCCTTATTTACACCTATAAACATAATAAAGATCAAAGCATGTGTACAAAATATTAAATAACAATTCAAAGCCAATTGCAAGATACAATGCCATTTTCAAGGTATTACAAAACATGACAACCTAGTATTCATATCCTTTTCTATGAATATTTTGAATTATGTCTTTTGATGTCTTTTTTCAACCTATAATGAATTTAAAGCTCAAACTTGTTCCGTTGTACTTAGGAAGACAAAAGACATATACTATAGGTTAATCTCCCAAAATGTCCCTAAAAATTGCCAAAATGACCAAAATATCCTTAGGCTAAGAATGAACCCTAGTTGATTCCAAAGGCCTAGAAATGTCTAATTGAGTTTCCAAGAATTCAATAATGCAAGAAAAACATCCTAAAATATATGAAAATAATGCAATGTGTCATTGACTTAATGGATTCAAGATCCCTTTCCTCACAAGATTCCTCCACACATCAAGTGTCATGATAATTTTATTTTTGAAAAATCTTATTTCTTTCCTTTTGATGTAGTGGAGATTCAAGTAGGGAGGGAATGATAAAGAATGGGTCATGCATGTCTAACAAGCCATACAAAGCCAAACGGCCCACAATCCACAAGTGACCTAAAAACATAAAAGGATGATATGGATGACTGCATAGATAATTGAATGTGTGGATGATGTGGCATGTGAAAGGCCACCCCAAAAGCCACTACTACTCAAATTCTAACATGTTAAAGGCCCAGTTCTATTATATACATGTAGAGGTATCTAATGGAGTTTTAATATTTTGAATTAGGGCCTAAATTCATTTTATAATGGACTATAAGAGTTTATGAACAAAAATCAAGCCTATTCAAGCCCAAGTAGATATTCAAATAGCTCATGTATATGTAGGGACATGAATAGTGCCATGAAGATCAATTTAGAAGGTGTAAGTTGCTAAGTTGAATTTGAATAATAAGAGTATTATTATTTTCAATCAAGTTTCTAGCTCTTGAAACCCTTAGTTTTTGTATTAGTATCTTATGGCGAATATAGATGTAATAAAAGCTTGATCAACTCTTAGGGTATCTTCAAAGGTTAAGGTATCTTGAAACCCTTAGTGTTTGTATTAGTATCCTATGGTATGGCTTGTATTAGTATCCTTTCCCCTTTGAATTTTGTTCCTTTCTTCTTTAATTTCTTTTCCAGATTACATTCCTTTCTTTGAGTTTCTTGTGTTTGTTTCATGTTTTCTTTGTGTAACAAGATTCTATTCCTAACTAGCACAATTTTCCTCCTGTGTCCCATATCAAAAAGTCTTCTAGAGGTCTTAATTTTTATTGCCTACTTTTTTTCCAGTACATTTTACTTCCATTCATATCATTAGTCTCTTCTTTATGTTTCATTTGGTAGAATTTTTCCTAAAATTTGATACCAAGTGTGTGCTACTAAAAGCCCTTTTTTGTAACAATGTGTATCACTAAATAACTATTGGTTACTAGGATTTTAAGTCTCACTATTATTTTTTCAAGAAAATATAGCTTTGGGTCCCCACACTTTGCTCAAGTTTTGCTATAAGTCCCTACACTTTTTTGGTGTTCTAGGTCCCTTCACTTTTATTTTTCAATATTTTAGGTTGCTCCATAAGCCGTGGTATAGGGACTTAGAATATCAAAAAATAAAAGTGTCAGAACTTAAAACATCGAAAAAAGTGCAAAGACTTACAGCAAAACTTAAGTAAAGTATAAGGATTTAAAGTTATGATTTTTCTATTTTCTTTAATGATATTTTAGGTGAGGGCATGAGTAAGAAGCAAGGGAAGGCATCAAAGGAGTGAGCTTACTATTAGGCTCTTGATTTATTTTCCTCTTGCTTTGCATATGACTTTCGATGTTATCTTTATATATATTGTCACGGACCTAGGATTTTGTCTTAAATTTTATACATTTGGAAGGGTTGGAACTTGATATTTGCGGTGATCTAATTTGATATATTTTGGTTTTGAATGATTATGGAGAATTTGACAATATGTTGGGTTTTACCAACCATTTTGTAGAATCCATTGATGGAATTTGAATTAAATTTTAGCTTTTGAATATGTAAACTTACGTAAACTTGTGAGTGGGCTGTTGAGGAAGATTTGCAGTTATTTGGACTTTATGTTTGAAGTTGAGTGATTTTCATATTTTCTCACAAAAGTCTAACCATATCATCAGTTATTTGGTAATTTGATTGAAGATCTCCTTTACATTTGATGCTCCACAAGTATTAGTGATGTGTGTGTATTGATAGAAAGATAGACGCTCAATCAACTATAACCATGTTTTGAAAATTTTTTTTTTTTGTTCACTACACGCCACGCGTTTGTAAAAAATTTTAATTGGGTGGGATCTTAGTAACTTATTTGGATCAAAGGCATGCCTTTGAATTCAAATAACATTTACAAATTTACTTATAAATCATCCATGAACAAAGTCCTCATATCGGTAACAGAATTTGTACTCAAGATCTTATAAATTATAGGCCAAATCCTTTACCAACCAGATGATCAGGTCAAAGAATGTTCAATTTGCATGCACATACATCACAGTAAGAATATAGCTAAAACGTGTTATATATTAACACATATACATATGCAGAGAGTCCCTTTCTAACAAATAACATATATAAGAGTACACCTTTAAGGAAGACTGCACTCGATCGGTAATATAAAAGTACATGGCAATCCCTCAAATATGGCCTATGAGTAAATGATTGTCACGATTAAACTAATACCATGCTGTCAAATAATGAAACGACAATTCGTTTTGTTTTCTTCTTCTTCTTCCTCCTCCTTAGTTTTCTTCCCTTTTTTTTTTTTGGTTGCTCTCTAATTGGCTTACCTATTAATTATTAGAAAGAGGTGAAGCATTCATGTTCGGATGAATTCGAGTCATCGCAAGGAGAGTGGTTGTGCCTTCCTTCATAAGTGGTTATCACCATACGACAGTCCTCTGACAGTCGTTCAACCCTCTTTTTCACTCTGCAATTGCTATGGGTGCAACGGTAGTAGCTTCTGAAATATCCCCAAATGTGAAGATTTCTTTGGGTCAGAATTATAATAATAAATTAAAAGGTAAAAATAATATTCCCAAGTAATCAATTTAAAATTAAAAAAAAAAAACAGAGAGAGGCCGCATAAATCCTTGTCTGCAGAAATAAATGATATAGTCATTAAAAAATTTGATCAGCTGCTCCAGAAATATATATATATATATATATATTACTCTCTCCAATTATATTTATACATTACTTCTAACATATTTCATTAGAATCGAATAAAACCTTAAACATTTAACTTTGTCTTGAAATTTAATAGGTTTTTAATTCCACTCTTTTAAAAGGACAAAAAGAATTATTTTTAATAAATTTTTCTAGACAAAAAGAATTATTTTTAATAAATTTTTCAAGTATTTAATAAGAGTAAAAAGGTAAAGATAAACATAAAACATATTAGAGTAGTTTATAAATGAGAATAAAATTAATCTTCTCTCTATTTTATAAATAGAACTAAAGGAGTATATTTAAAAAAGAGGAGGGAGGAGAAGAAAAATATTATCTCTGTAATAAAGTATGAGTATTAAAAATATAAAAAAAATTAAGAATGAAGCCTCATCTTTCTACGATTAAATATTGCTGTTTCTAGTTTATACACCAAAATCAAAATAATATTTTTCATTCAACCAAAAAATGAATACTTTTCGAGGTATTCTAATGGTATGACATGTAAAATTTTTAATTTAGTCAAAAGCATTGATTATTTAACTATAGCAGGCCCTATGTATGTATTTGCATGAATTCAGAACTGTATTATTCATAGTATGAATTTTTCTGCTTTTCATGTTATTGAAGTTGATAAATTACTTATTTTTAGTATTTTGCAAGTAAATTTTATTTTAAGACAACAAAAACAAGTGCAGAAGGATCTATTTATTCCCGTGTCAACTGATGTAATACTTCATCTCAGTTATTTAGGAGCAACCAATGATGATGAGTACATGCACACTAGATGGTAATAGACTCCAATTATTTATTTATTTACGCTAACTCAAAGAAAATATTATATAATTAAAATTTTCATTTAGCATACTCTTTCATGAACGTTCTATTTGCATGAGCACACATATACTCGTACCTGTAAAAATATGTGTGTGTGTGTGTATGAGATAGGTTTTCCTATAGATTATAGTCCCTTCTATCTCTATTTATAAAGCACTCCTAATTACTTCACTGAAATTAAGAAGAGATTGTTAAATCATTAATTTTTCCTAAAAGTAGAATAAACTTATAATCTTGCCCTATTTAAGTTAAAATTTGTCAAATTTATAATACATTTTCTCTCATAGTTAATGAGTTTAAATAAGGATACTATTAAAAAAATGTAATTAATATCCAAAGTATACCTTTAACTTTTTAACTTGACATAATGTTTCATTTTGATTCTTAATTTTATAAAGTGTTTTTTATGTCCTTAGAGCCTTATATAATTAATTTCATTGCAAAAAATTTATATATTAAACTTTTGAATATTAACAAAGCATGTTCAAAATGTTGACAAAATTGGCACAGAAAATAATCATTTAAAACTAACGGTATTAAAATTAAAAAATTGAAAAAATATTTTATAAAACTAAGGGGTCAAATTGAAATCTTATATAAAGTTAGAAGATCAAAAGTACACTTTAGCCTATATTAAGGACTAAAAAACTTTCTAAAAGGCACCCTATAATCAGAGTCGGAGTAGTACAACATAAATATTATGTGATCCTAATTTTGTGGATCATAACTACATGCATTCAATTCACTATTAATTTCTCCCATTTTATGCATGTTATTTTCATCTCCAACAACCAGAACAAAATTACTTGTCCAAGTAACCACATCAAATCTTAAATTAAATGAGAATTTTCAGACAATCTGAGAATCTTAAACTATTTTCTCCCATTTTAAGCATGTTATTTTTAGAACTCAATGTTAAATCATTTGAAACCTCATAATAAATTTGTTCTTTTGAAATAATGCAATTTATATTATCTATGACACAAAATATTTAAAACTTCACTAATTCGATGCTATTTTAATTTCCCCATCTCTAAGTTAAATCACTTATATAATATCAATAATATCATCTATATATATATATGATAACGACAATTGGTTGTTATAAAAAACAATTTCATTTTATATTGGTCTCATTCAAATTCCATCATAATTTTTGGACACATATAATAAAAACCCCATCATTGAATGGCAGTTTCTAAAGGCATTTATAATTAATATCCAATAACATCTCTATCTTCCTAGCTAACTAATTGCACTTGTCTAAGTTAGTACATACCTTTAAGTGCAAACTTGTAATGATGGTTTACATCTGAACCCATTTAGCATTTAATTGATATGTCACTTCGACACTTTTCTCATTAGTGTGTCATGCATTACAATATATTTATTCTCATTTCAACCTAATTGGTTTTTTCTTTACATGCACGCAAATATATTTGTGTGTTTTATTAAGAAGATATGGCCAAGAATCTGCATTTTTCTTTTTCTATATGTTAATTATTATGTCTCACTTGATGTAAGTAACTTAGGATTTCATCATTGTATATATTCTATTTCTTTATAGAGTACGCACATTTTCATTAATCTTAGTTTTTTTTTTTTAAATACTCACTCCTTTCAAAAATGTAATAGTTTGAATGTTCAAAAATGTAAAGTATTTTTAGTGTTTTTTAAGATATAATCATTGTATTTCTTCAAAGGTACTCATAATAAATAAGTCACTTTATATTATATTTACTTTAAAGTGAAATATCTTATTAAATAAAAATAAATATAAAAAAATAATGCTAGATTAAAGATAATTAATTATCTTATTAAAAATATATTACATCTTTTAAGTTTTAACGGAGAGAGTAAGAAGGTGTTGTGAGTTTTGAGTGTTTTGAAACAGCCGGCCTATCTGTCTTTTGTTTCTTCTCAAAAAGAAAACAGCTAAAAAATCTGTTTGGTACAATATAATTATGTTGAAAGCTAAGTAAACCCTCTGCTATGTCAATGCAACAGCATATTTTAGTGTGTAATTATCATTTTTAAAATTTTCAAAATTACAATATTGTTTTAATTTTCAAAATTTTTTAACGTAAAATAATAAAATAGAGAAAAAATATGCAATACCTTTAGACTATATAAATTTTGACAGTCTGAATCTACTAATTAATTTGCACTAGAAATTATATGATGTTCCATTTTCACACTTTCTGTCAAACTGAGATATAAAATACCACTTTTTTAAAAATAATATTAACTCTACAATACCTAGTTCATTTTCAAACATATTTTATACAGATACTCAATTAGCATGAGAATTTACTTACATACATACATACATACATACATACATACATATATTAATTGCCAAAAATTATATCTAGAACACTTGCACATGACCTAGCCAGGAGATTTAATTTGTTTGTTACATAATTCAGCATGGATGTTCTATCTCAATCCTATTATGTTATGTTTCTTAGGCATGTATGTATGAGTTTTAAAAGGAAAAAAATAGCAAATTGGCTCTTCATTAAACTATAGATTAAAAAGCATCTGGGACTTTAACTTTAATTTTGATGTAATATTTTCCTTCAACTTTTAAAAATAATATAATTCAGTTCATACAATTAATAAAAACTAACTTTGACCGTTAGTTGATCAAAAAATAATAGAAAAAGCCTCAAAAATTACAAAAAAGACTAATTAAATTTTCTTAATCCTTCTCTCTAATTTTTTAGGTCCTTGTTTGTAATTTTTTTGTCCTTTACTATAATTTTTTAGTTATTTTCTATAATTTTAATGTTCTTTTCAGTTATTTTATAAGCAACTAACAGTCAAAGTAAATTTTTTTTGAATAGTAAGAATTAAATTGCATTATTTTTAAAAGTTGAGGACACATTGTACAAAAATAAGTTTATGATTTCAGACGTTCTTAGACGTATAGTTTAGAGGTCAATTTACTCATTTTTTCCTTTTAAAAATTAGTTATTACATAAATTTAAACTTGAAATCACAGTATTGAACACAAATCACTAGAAAGCCAAAACAAACTTCTATAAATCTGAGACAAACAACCATGCTATTCAAAGAAAAACTTTGTTGGTTGATTTTTTTAATTTACAATTTAGATATAAAATTTTGTAAAATGATATACCAAAATATAATATGCGGTATAAAAATATAAAAAATTATCCAGTACTTGTACAGTGTTTGATTTTTTTTATTACATCTACCATTTACCAAATTAATTAAAGACCATAATACAAATATTTACAGTACTTATGTTGAAAATAACTAAATAGCATGTTGATTACCTCTTTACAGTACATTATTTGCTGAAAATACTAGGACCGAATGTAATAATAGTATTGGCAAAAAAACTCTTCAATAACCTTTAAAAATTATTGTTTCTAATTTAATTTATTTATGGACCGTAAAAGTTCCTCATTGAATTAGAGTGATCTCTATTCTCTGCTTAATTATTATTGATATAGATTATTTCTAATATTCTAATATCTATATGTCTTTCATTCCATTAATTATATCCTATGCATGAAATATTTTAATATAAATAATGAATGCCTACACATTTTTCTGTAATAGCTCTCTTAATTAATAAAACACTTTCATGATTTGGCTACATTTAAAAAGAAAAATTAATTTTTTAATGCTTCAACTTTTAATTCACTTATAACTCAATCCCCCAATTATGATTCGCTATGACGCAGTCCCCCAACTATGACTAGCCTATGACTTAGTCTCTCAACTTTTGAATCACTTACAAATTAGTCCCTGAACTTTTGTTAATTTTTTTTCATATTAGCTTATATCTCACATTAATGAGCAAGAGGAGGGTATTTTAGAATAATATATGAATATTTTTTATCTCTCTTATTTGATAAGAAATTTTTTAAACAAAATTAAAAAAAAGTACCGAATTATAGGTGAATCAAAAGTTGAGGGATTAAGTCGTAGCGAGTTATAATTGAAGGATTGAGTTTCAGTGAGTCATAATTAAAAGATTGAGTTATAAGTAAGTTAAAAGTTAAAAGATTAAAAAACTAATTTTTTTATTTAAAAATTGAACTGCATCTATTAGAAATTTTTCTGGAGCTGTCTATATATATTTGAGTTATATAGAAAACTTTATGTCGAAGGGCAGCTTTTTTCAGAGAGATATGAATAATGTGTGGATGGACTTTATCATTGAAATTGAGGACTCATAGGGGTCCCTATAATGTGTCCTATTGTCAAAATTATAATCATAATATACACCAAGTTTTCTCATTTATATATATTTTTTCTCTATCAATAATTTATCTGCAAACTAATCATAAATAAAACCAAAGCTAGCTAGCTCATTCTGTTCCATCAACCTTCTCTTCAACAGTATCTTTCAGTACGCTGGAGATTCTCTCTTTCTCTTTCTATCTTTATCTCTACACTTAATCCTTTATTAAGTTTCAAGTTACATTATATAATTTTTTTAAAAATTTGTATTAATATATGTGCAAATCATTCTTTTATTTTTTGTAAAAAAAAATTATTTATTTATCTAATAAATTTATAGAAAGCTAAATTGTAGGCAAACACTAGCCTCAATATCTATCTAATTTGATAAGAAATTCCCAAATTATTATAATGGTACAAGTATTTTCTTTTCTAATTTCTTATTTTAAATTTTATTTTTTGAACAGATGGCCACCTTTGAAGTTTAACTTCTGCAAATATAGCTCTGCCTCCTAAAATATTGCATTATATCATAAAAATACTAAATATTGTACTAATTAATGACAAAAGAACTGACAGCGAGTTTGTTATTAAGTTTTACAATTTATGAAGATTACCCGCACATAACCCATCTTTTAAGGGGTTTACAATTAACCTTAAGTTTTATATTAATATTTAATTAAAATTATGCCTAAGAAAACATATTTCTGAAAATATTGTGACCTGTGACAATGTTGAATTATTTTTTACTATCGTCATGTATGTTATTTACAAAAGAGACATTTTACCTTAATTCCCCGGTGATACAGCCTTTAATGTAGCTATTGCACTCAATAGTTCTTCAAATAATAATATGATTTGATGAAGACACTATTATACACAAAAAGTAGAAAATTGAAAAAAAAAAATTATCTTATATTTACTATACTGTGGCTTCAATTCATTTTCTCGAATTTTCTTACCTTAATAAATATTTTCCATTATTATATTTCACCAATATTGTAAAAAGTTTGCTCAAATTACTGTCACTTATTAGCTCCAATAAAATGGTTAGTTGGCCAAGTCCAATGGATATTTGATAGTAACATGACTGTTATAAAATTTTCTACTGAACTTAAACAACTCCATATATAAAATAAACAATATAGAACCTTAAATAAATGATCCACAATTTAAAAAAGGATATTAATTAATTATACTCTCTGCTCTTTTTTAAATTAAGCTAGACCAAATTGAATACTCTACATTCATGCAATATTTATGCCCTTTTTTTTAATATTTCTACAAATATATTATATACTTCCTCCATTTCTATATATAAGAGAAAAATTATATCACAGTTTAGGAAAGTTAGTCAACCATAATAATTATATCTAAAAATAAAAAATTAAATTAAAATGCCATAAATTAATTAACATAAACATGCATTAATTATTTTTTGTTAATGTAAATTATGAGAGACGACTTAAAAAATGTGTAATAAATGCTTATTAAAATATGTGATTTTATTTATATAAAAAATAAGTAAAAAGTGATAGCTTTTCTTACAAATAAAAATGAAGTAGTATGCACTCACTTTTGTGAATGTAACAAATACGGATCAAGATAAGGTGCTTATTGTTATCATAATATATAGTCCTTCTATTAAAAAATATAAAGCATTTTTTGAGGTATAATTAAGATCTTAAAAAATATATGATATTTTGGATCTTTCAAAATCCAATTAATAAATTTTTTTTCAAAAATAGTATTAATTATTAAGGGGTGTACTCCTCCGTTTTTGAATATAGGAGAACCTTAACTAACTCACATAGTTTAAGAAAATTAGTTAATCTTAATTATGTTTAAAATTGACATGTTTAGACTAAAATGCCCTTGTAATTTATGTTTACTTTTTCCTAAAAATTTAATGATACTATCCATTTATAAGGGATGATTTGAGAAAAAATATAATTAATACTCTTGAAATTTGAAATTTTGCATGTTAAAAAAAAGAAAAGAGAAAAATAGAATAGTTTCTCTTATATTTGAAAATAAATGAAGTAATTAATAAGATTTTCTAATTGAAGACCCTATTAAATAAGGATACACATGAAAATTGAGTATAATCTTAAAAAAAAAAAATTAACTAACTCATGCAGAAGTCTAATTAATTTAAAAATGCCTTAGAATATTAAATGGAGAGAGTATATATATGAAAGAAACAACAGTAATTAAAACAAAGAAGGGTTAAAATTAATTTTAAAATTAGAATAGAATTACCTTGGATGAAGGCTATTTTTGACAACTTTCTGGCCATACTTCCTCCATTTGTAGCCATCATCAAGCACATCCACATCGCTTCTTGTTTGGAAACAAAACCTTGGCTCCCTCAGCTTCCTCCTCACCTTCACTTTGCTTTTCTCTGATGCTGCTGCATTCCTCCACCTACCATATATATTATATATATGTCATCACATAAATCAATATCACATCAACTCTCAATCAATTAATCCATTTATTTTAATTTATTAATTCAGGAATTAATAATTCAGTCACAAGAATAATAATCAAGCTTTTCTAAGTCTACAACAGCACTATGACCATCCTGCAATCTCTCTTATTTTTGATAAGACTATCATCAGCAGATTGAAGCAAAACTTGGTGTTGCCCGTGTGTTTAGGAAAATCAAAATGAAAGAAAAATGAAATAATTAGAGGATGTAGGCAAGGTATTGAATACTGATCAGTTATTAAACTAATTAAAACATTAGTTCAAGAGTTAATTGTCAAAGTTAATTGTCAAAATTAGCAGTTAAACCCTAATCAAACTTATTATAAACGAAGCATTTTATTAAACTAATCAAAGTGTTGACTCAAAGATTTATTAATTTAATCGAGTTGATACAAATTTTCATTCTATGGATGTAGGTGTTGATGAGGGCAGACTATTGTTGTTGGTGGAGAGTGATGGAGTAGTGGATTCGAGAATCGATGAGTATCAAGACTTTCAAGTCCCAACCTCTTGTTCTTCCTTCTCACTCACAACCCCAAGACAGAAGAAACCAAGAGGGGGAGAGAGAATGATAGCTCGGCGTACGAAAAAGCAAAAGAAGCAGACTCTATGGTCTCTCTCTCTCTATCTCTCTCTCTCTCTCTATCTCTCTGCTTCCATAGTCCATAGAAGGGCGATGAGACCTTTAGATTCTTCGCAGAAGCCTAAAGGAATATCTTCTTGGGTTCATAAATACCTATTTACGTGCATGTCTTCACTCTTAGCCACACAGAAAGTGAAAGAGAATAAGCATATATGAATAAGAATCACAAAGCCAATTGACATATAGATTTATGTTTCAGTGAGAAGAAAGAAACAAGACAATATATATATATATATATATCCACACTCACATATCTATCATACCATGTATTGTTGCCGTCACTAGCATTTCCAGTGCAGTTTTCATCATTCACAGCCTTGGGATCCAGATTTCCCACCTAATTACATAAGAAAATTCACAAATAAAATTACCCTAATTAAGTAAGATCATGTACTGAATGATTATCTGATATATATATATATAGGACTTTGTAAATTGATAATTAATCTGAAATAAACAACCTGGTCGTTGTTGTTCCATGGAGTTCTGGAAGTAACAAGGTCATTATGGCTAAACCCGACGGAAGTTGCGACTGCGCCGCTGCCGCCAGCTGCCGCCGGTGCGGCGGCGGTGCTGCTTCCGCCACAAGAAGAAGATTGAGATTGGGCAGAAGAAGGAGCCAAGAAGCTGAGCACTTGATTCTCTTCGAATTGAACAAAACCCATTTCGTGGATGGTCGCTTGATGATGAGGGTTTGTGAACGAAACCTGAAGTTCATAATTCGGAACACTGCCTCTCTCTCCTTCCATGATGATGATGATATATCAGATAATTTGAAGAAGCTTTTGATGATTCTGAAATATGAATTCTCTGAGGAATTCGCGTTCGTCGTCTTCTTCTTCTAGAGCTAGCTTTGAGAATTGAGAGAGAGAGAGAGAAACAGTAGAGAAAAAGAATGAAGCGATTGATTGAGGAAGCAGGTTTGGGTTTGGAGAAGGGAGTAATTAGGAATGGGGTTATGTAGTTTGGTCAACTTAGATACATCTTTTTTCCGAGATTAAAACGCTTAAGAAGCTATTGTTTAATTTGTTTGTACTCCGGGAAATTATATATATTCCCTTCTAGAAATTTGATTTCAAAATATACAATATTAAGTAAATGTTATATATTTTTTAATTACATTATCTATTTATTAAGTAATTAGAAAGTCTCTTAAATAACTCAAATGTTATATTTATTAGTATGATTGAAGAGATGCAGAAAGTTTTAGAAGATTAACATTTTAACCAATTTCTTTTTTAAGAATCACAATATAAATATTTTTTAGAAGTATTATTTAATTAGTTTAAAATATATAGGACATTAAATTATTTTTATATTTATTTTCTAATCGTGTCCTTATTATTTATTATTGATTTAAAAAATGATGCATTGAAAAGATGCAATTTTTTTTTAGAAAAAATTAAGATTTCAATTATTTTTTAAGTTATAAACAATTAATTATTAATGTCTTATATTACAGATGAGACGCGTATATTTCTTTCCGACTTCTAAAGGGTAAAAGGGCTTGTAGTCCACTAATTCAACATTTGAACAGTCTCTCTCATGCTTCTCTCTCTCTCTTGGATGCACGTGCATTGTCCTGCAACGTGTTTCAGGGGAATCTACTTGAATAACCGAGGCTACACGAGTTAATGGGACAAATTTAATCACATTATATGGACATGTCATATTTTTGAGTTAAAAAAAAAACCTTCAATAACAATTTTTTAAAAAATATACTCTTCTGATTGTATTTATAAAAGGCCTTAGACAAGCTTTAAATTAAGCTCAAGTCTTTTAAATCAAGCCAGATCTTAGTTAGGTTCAGGTTTGAGCTGTGAAAAAAATTTTATACAGGCTTTAAGCAGGTTCAAGTCTCTGATTTACCATATAAGTTCAGGCTTATTTGGCTTATTTGGCTAAATGCTAACTTGGCCTAGTCTATTTTCACCCCTACAATTACATTAATCAATCTGGTTTGAAAGGAAAAGTAATTATATACTAATTACGCTAATTCACATATTAAACAAATTTGGTAGAAATTGGATAATTGAAGGGTAAAATTACGGTGATAATAATTGTATCCTTGATCATTCATAGAACATTAATTTTCCATCACTATGCTTTTATAAAAATCAAGCTAAAGTATAATAGTTGTATACTTGATCGTTCGTAGAACATTACATACAATAGTTGTGTGCTATGAATAAAATCTTTATGACTTTACTATTATTACATGTAGAATATTCATAAAAATCAAGCTAAAATATATTTTTAATTCTTTAACCTTAACATTAGTTTCAAATTATTATTTTTTGTCAATTATTGTTATTTTTTAAAAAATAAATTTAACATGTCAATATTTAATAAAATTTTATTAATATTTAAAAGGTTACTGTAAAAACTTTTCGTTGATAAATTAATGATGTTAAAATTAAAAAAATTAAAAAAGCATATTTTATAAAATTAAAAGAACAAAATAAAATCTTGTGTAAAGTTAAAAAACTATATATGCACTTTAGCCAAAAAATAATGGTATTGTGAGAATTTAACTTAAGATATATATTATGGTAATTACTTCAGACTCCTTAATTTGCTTCCACCTTATTTTATCAGTCAATAAGAAAGTTTTCTCAATTTAGCAGTTTTAAAACTGAGTTAAATATAGTTTATGATCGACTGCTTTATTATGAGATTAAAAGGTTGATTAATCAATTATTGGTACACGCTTTCAAATGAAAGTATGATGATTTTTAAAAGACTCAAATATACATTATTGAGTTATAAAACATATAATTCAAATTGAACTATACCATCATCTCATACATTTAATAATTGTGAGTGTCTTCTTTTTCACTCCTCACAAAATCTAGATACATCCATATCAAGAACTTGCGGTGATAAGAATTAGTGTAAATAACAAGTTTTTTAAACCTGTCACTCCCAATAAGAGACTCCTTTAATTGAAGGAACTTAACTTTGACACGAAATTCCTATAATTGTCACTTAATTATTTTGATCGCTTTTTGTTTCAGCCATTATTCTCGGCTTACTAACATTCATGTTCGTTTCCCAGGGTAGCTTTCACCAAATTGATGTTATAAAGGACAAGACAATTCAATTAAATACGTGTTGCGTTGTAAAATTAGGTTGGGCAGAATAGATGTTTATTAGATTTTGAATATATCGATGAAAGATAGCGAAATTTATAGTTAAAGAAATCCTTATTAGTCATTAATTAGTGACAATAAAATTATAATAAGACAAGAGAAATGATTAACTACCAACTTGAGATACATTAATTAGTGTTGGTAGATTTTTTAGTATTGGTAGATTTTTTGTTGTATTCATATTAAACTTTTGCTGGCAAATGAAAAATCAAACTTTTCGATCCATAATTATATTCGGAACCAAATGTTAATTAGAAAGCATGAGCAATTTTTGACTACGCGCCTTAGCATGTAATAAATGTGTTGCTAGAAGATATAACGCGATGGAGACAAGCGTAGGAAAAATTATAAAATCTAATTATAATTATAATTGGAACCAATACTGTAGAAAAATGTAATTTTTGGGCTTATTTGGTTTTGTTCTCTCTCTCTCTCTTTTTATATATAAACTATTTTGTAAACAAATTTTTATAAGGGAGAATATCATTGAAGGATACTTAAAATAATTTAATATCTCACAATGACTTCTATCAAGCAAACATTTATAATTAACAAGTAACATTTAAGTTTTAACGAGTATCTAATTCATCCAAGTCCTTATTAATTATATATTAAATTATTTCAAGGGTTTTTCATTAATATTTTTCCTTTGTAAAAATTCATTTAAAACAAAACAAAATGAAAATATATTTGAATATGTTAATTTGAAAATAATTTTAGAGTTAAAAAATAATTGATAGTAGTAGTCACCAGTGATTAATGATGATGAGAAATACTTATTGTTTAAGTATTTTTCCTTATGATAGTAGTTGGTTATGACTAAACCTTGGTAATTTATGATATTACTTATTTGGGTTGTCTAGATTTTCTTTACATACAATTCATATTTTAAATTTTCATCTTTTCAATTTTTTGTTTTAACATTTTTTTCATGAGATTAATCTCTTGAAAAATCTATGTAACATTTAAAAGTTTGGTTTCTCTCCCAAGTAATAGATTTGATACACACATTCATAAATCAAACTTAGAATGATAATTAAAGGGCTCAAACTACTATCATTTATGTCACACCCACTTAGTTGTTTGTTTTAGCATTTTTTTTTGGTAATATTGTTTTAACATTTTTTATTGTAGAAGTGGAAAAATGAAGAAACGTCTATAGTCTGAACTTTTGTTTCAGCGCTTTCTTTCTGTGACTAATGCTTAACTAATGTTAGCTAGTGGTTCATTTGAAGTTGATTGTATATATATTTTTATATAAATTAATTTTTTAATAATTTAAATTATTTAAAATAATTATATCGTTTAAATCTGTTTAAAATAACCGTTATTTCATCCACAACAATTAGATTACGTTGAAAACAAAAACTTGACAATATGTCAAGAATTCGAATATTATTGATACGAAGGCATAATGAGAGATTTACATTTATTTGAGTTGGATAATAAAGTTCAAATATAAATCAGTCAATTACAAAATATCATATCTGACAAAAAGACCATCATTTTTCTTTCAAAATGGTGTTCTATGTTTTTGGAGATCACGAGGGATTATAAGGCGTTTTGAGAGGAGGGATTATAAAGCCACTCGACTATATCAACATTTGATAATTGAAATTTACATAGAAATTACATGAATATATAATACGGTTAAAGAACATTTTTGCCCTCAACTATTTTCTCCGAAGTGAGGAGTACTTGGTATCATAAATTTATATGTGATACAATTTTTTTCTTTAATTTTTGAAAATAGTGTATTGGGCATTTTGTCATTAAAAAACATTAACTTTAACCATTAATTAATTTAAAAATTGTAGAAAAAGGATTTGAAAATTACAAAAAAAATGATTCAAAAAATTATATATAAGTACCTTATATGAAAGTTAATGCCGATTAAGTCTCCTTAATCAATATTAATTTTCTTATAGGATATTTATTTATAATTTTACGTGTCATTTTCTATAATTTTTCTGGTTAACTAATAATTAAAAATAAATTTTTTAATGATAAGGTACTTAGTACACCATTTTCAAACATTGAAAAGAAAAATTACATTACATATAAGTTTAGGATATTAAATGTTCTTGAGTGAATAGTTGAGGGGTAAAAAAACACTTTAACCCTATATTATATATATATATATATATATAAAGAGAGATAAATTCTCTCTCAAGCTCTATATATATATAATCATAGCAAAAACCATGTATAATATATACCTACCATCATATATAAGCTTGGGAATTGCATAGTATTATATGTTTCAACAGATATTATACTTTTCCTTGATGAAAGAAAGAATTACAGGGAATCCATTTCTGTTTAGCCTTTCAAATAATAGAAACCAACTTAGCTTTGCCGTGAGAAAGCTCATCACAAGTTTCATTTGCCTCATATGACAAAGTAAACATAGTCACTATCACATTAATTATTTACCAAAGAAGGTAACCAATATCACAAATTGGAAAACCAAATCCAACAGCCATCACTGATCAATATTCCAAAAATTTAACACTCAGATTTCTTCTTATAATTAATTAATATAACAAAAGTTTGTGTGCTCCAAAATAAAAACAACTGAAAATATAACTATTAGTTCCTATAATTTTGTTGCATTATGTTACTTGTTCCTTTACTTTTTTTCAATGTTTCAGCTCTATATCTCTAGTTTTTCCTGTCTTCAGTGTTAGTCACTGATCAAGAATTGTTCTGGACTTTTGGAGATAGCACTTGTTAGCATTGGAAAAGTGATTTCCGGTCATTATAGGTAAACCCTTTTATCTTATGCATCAAATGTCTTAATTAACA